TGAGTAGGTGTAAATAGATGTGAATTTGCTTAGGGAGGTGAAGACAATTAACCCTCAATGTGAATGAACGAAAATCCACAGTAATTCACATAATACACCTACATCTAGACTGGCCATGAGGCTGCCCTCCTGAGACACAGCAGAGAATCCTGTTCTGTCTGCAACACTGAAAAATGATTTCAGCTGGGATTAGATTAGTAAAATAAAGGCATCATCCTATCCTTTTCTTTTGGCTTCATGATGTTTTGGACTAATGTTTAATAATGCTTATATTTACTAATGTTTTACCCCTTCCCCATGGTGGTAACATCAGCTCACTGTTCCTTACAGAGCAGAATATTGTGGACTTAAGTATTCTTGGCATGGTGACCTTCCTCACCTTCCTGTCCATCGTCATCTTCACAGAAGATGCCCTGTATCTTTCAAAGAAGGTCCGCTGTTTTGTCAAGATGAAAACCCTCATCTGGAGCAGCTCAGCTCCTACCGTAAGTGGCCTATCCCTTGATACCGTAAAAAAGAGGTTTCTTGTCATGGTCCTCCATCTCTGGTCCATCTCACATCAGAGTCGGTGAGCACAATCTGCTGTAATGCCAATACTGATATTCACTTTATGTTCTTTATCTACCAGGTCATTTCCGTCTTTTGCCTTGTGGGACTCTGGATCCCTCGGTCCATGGCGGTGGTGGAAATGGCCATTACCTCGTGAGTACCTTCCTGCAGTGACCCTCACTCTCATTCAGACATTACACTTGTTGACAATGAGGATTTTTTTTACAAATTTATAATATTTATTACTTTTAAGAAATGATATACAGTCAGCCCAGTGTATCCACGGATTCAACCATCCAGGGTTCAAAAATATTCAGACAATAAAGAATATCCCATAAAGTAAGCCTTGATTTTGCCATTTCATATAAAGGACACAATTTTACTATGCCATTGTATATAATGCGACTTGAGTATCTATGGATTTTGGTATCTACAGCGTGTATGTGTCTTGGAACCAAACCCCAGCAAATACGAAGAGCTCAATGTACATAGAAAAACTGCAACAAAATATTTTAAAATACGAAACATGCAAAACCCACACACTCAAACACAGTGCTATATAAAGCAACAAATAAACCATGAGTTTTGTGGTGGAGGTAGCTCAGTGGTATAGTTTCAGCTTTGCATGTGTCCCATCTTCTACCTGTCACATCTCCTATTAGCACAGAAAAGCAATCCTGCTCCCAAACCTTTAAGAGACATGGCTGCCCGGTGATTAAATTAATATGGCTTCCCATGGGTTAACCCAGAAAAATGATTGTATCCCTTTTTGTGTGTGTTATGTCTTGGCCTCTGAAAATTTCCTCCAGAAGAATAAGATGGCTATGAAGGTTAGATGATATTGTTACCCCAAGACCAGGCCCCCAATCACTCTTCAAATTTAATATCAATATTAAAGGGACACTGAGGTGGATGACCTAGGAATGATCCCACTGTGGACTCCTGGCCTCTTTACACTTGAAAAACCAATTTGCGCTAGCAAGGGAGTTAGAGGGCACCCACATGATGAGATTTCCCAAGGCCCCAGCATCATCCCTTTTGTTGTTAGAGGTGGTGAGGGGACCATGGCCAAAGAAGGTGCTTGTTTGTGATTACCTAAGACAGGAGTGCAAATCCCTTTGTCTGATGCATTAACACCAATCACCCAACCACCCACGTCAACTCTGGACCATTCCTTTCCTCCTGGAAAACCATTTAGCAAGAATCTAATCCTTTCATGCCTTGGTTTCTGTCCCCAAGACAGTCTTGAGCAGAGGTAGGCAACCTTTCCCCTTTAAGGGCCGAGGGACTTCAGCTCCCAGAAGCCTCAGCCATGTTGGCCAATAGTCCCATATTGGCCAATAGCTCCTGGGATTCTGGGAGCTGAAGTCCCTCGGCCCTTAAAGGGGAAAGGTTGCCTACCCCTGGTCTTGAGTATATGAGGGAGTATTGTAAAGTTTTAATTAAAACATTTACATTTTTTTTGACAGATACTTTGTTTTGATTTGTAGTTGTTAACTTATCTCTATGTAGCCAACATCCAGATTTACACATTCCCCCCAGTGTTTCTTGACCCTCCTAATACCGTTATCGTACAAGTCTACAGATTGCGCCTTATGAGGATTTTACACTTTAGTCACTTCTGGCACAACCTGTCACAAAAATAAAGGACACAATGAGCTTATTTTTCCCCCAATATCATGCACTTAGGGACCAATGATGACACTGACAAAATTTCATCAATATACTATAATAACTTCCAGGTGATAATTATTACTTTACAGTACCCCCTCATAAGGTGCAATCTGCAGACTTCTACAATATTTGGTATTCGGAGGGTCAAGAAACACTGAGAAAAATGTCTAAATCTGGATGGTGACTATGTACAGATAAATTAACAACTACAATCAAAACAAACTTTCTGTCAATTTTTTTAAAGGTGATAATTAAAACTTTACGATATCCCCTTGTAAATTTAGGTAGTAGAATAGCAGTTCCCCAGTCTAGTTTACAAGCAGACAGGGATACTGTTGGTTTGACTAGACTAGACTCCTCAATACACTTGCCATCCCACATGCTATGGTGACTATTGAGCCCTCTGGACTTCCATCAGTTTGAACCAAGATCCATGGTCGGTAACGTATCACCATTAGCAAGGCCTTAACCTATAGTTGGCTTGGTCCCCAAGGCCACTGTTGCCCCATCTGAAATATTATTTCATTTGAGCTATTATTAAAATTCCCCTATAAACATATTAATTTGTGGGTGTTCTCTCGGGACCCCAGCATTTTGGGTAACATCTCATTCTTTATGATGCCAAGGGACAGAGGAATGGGTTATGCTGCAAGAACTGGGGGGCTGTTGTTCATCTTAAAGGAAACTGGACATGACCAACTGAAGCCTAGCTTATAGTCAAAATTTGTTTGCCTGATGGCATTTCCCCAAGACATGCACTTTTCAGTAGTGACTTGGCAACCTTGCCTGAAATAGTATATATGAGCTTGTGGCTCAGGGCTCTCATTTTGTTCAGATTCTGGCTTGTCAGGGTGAGGGACAGAAATGCATTCCTTTCTCTAAACTGGACCCTTGATTCACTAGGATGGGTTCCTAATAATTCCTGTTGAGAAACAATTCCACATCAGCAAGTCAGTGTGTGTTAACAATGGACCAAAGATCTAACTAAGTACAGTAAGCCCTTAGTATCTGCTGGGGTTGGGTTCCAGAACCCCCCTTGGATACCAAAATCCATGGATGTTCAAGTCCCATTAAATACAATGGCACAGTAAATTGGTGCCCCATACATTCAAGCTGTGGATGGTTGAATCTGTGGATAAAGAATCTGTGGATCTGGAGGGACGGCTGTATAAGGCAGCTTTGCAGATATTATTTAACCACACATTTATTTTATTTTTGTGAACACCCTTGGCCTCACCTGATTTTGAAAACTTGGGCCAGGTCTGGTTAATACTTGGATGGGAGACCAACACAAAGGAAAAGCACAAATCTCAAGAGACATGGCTGCCAGTCAGAGTTGGCCATACTGGTGTACCTCAAGTTGAAACAACCCTGTCTCTGGATCTCTTTCTAATAGTAGCTGATGGTTGAACTGGGACAACCAGTCACTCAAAGGTACCCAAAGGTTGCTATTTCCTTCTCTATGGCCCTTCCAGGTACTTTGCTGTCTGCTTCTACCTGATGACACTAATCTTGGTGGAAGGACTTGGGGGGAAGGCGGCTGTGCTCAAGGCCTTGAAGGACACCCCTGTGAGGATCAGCACTGGGCCATGCTGCTGTTGTTGTCCTTGCTGCCCTCGCATCACAATGACCAAGTGAGTGAAGCTCCATCCCATCTGATCTCCTGTCTTGTTTTGGAAGCTGAAGAGCATCAGTCTGGGTGCATTCTTGGATGGGAGATCTTAGGGTTCCCAGATTTCAGGGCTTGGGTTGTCTTCTCAGGATGAAGGGAAGGAATCTCAGGGAGAGGGTGCTGACTTTAAAAGTGTGTTGTATGTGTATGGATATGTATGTGTGTATAAACATACACAAATGCAGACACAATTTAATTTGTTGTTGTTGTTGTGTGCCTTCAAGTTGTTTCCAACTTACAGTGACTCTAAGAGTGTAATGGGGTTTTCTTGGCCAGATTTGTTCAGAGGTTTACCACCACTGTCTTCCTCTGAGGCTGAGAGAGTGTGACCTGCCAATGGTCACCCAATAGGTTTCTGTGCCCAAGTAAGGATTCCAACCCTGGGCTCCACAGTCATAGTCCAACACGCAAGCCATTACACCACACTGCCTCTCTAAAATTTAATTTACAGTATAGCCTGCTTTTGTCCCAGCATGGGATCCAACGTGGCTCACAACCATCTAAAAGCACAGTATGAAAAGGGATCTTGTACCACCTTTGAGGCTAATTGTGTGAAAGAAGTTGTTGCATAAGTTTTGCATACTTTAGTTTACTTTCTCAGATCAATGGAGTGAGCTGGTACCTAGGAACAGGCTTTTCTAAGCAGACCGTATGAATAGCCATTGAAATGCAAAATTGGTGGGTATGGTGATGAAGGGACAAGTTCAGTTTTAATGAGTCCATTACTTGAACAGAGACAATGGCTTCCTGGCACAATATATTATACATTATAACACTGCTTAACATCCCAGCCTCACAAGGATGCTCTTGGTCAGTTTATCACATCTCATTTCTGTTTCCCAGCCGGCAGGGACCACCTTCCAAAATTCCCTCCACCATTCATAGGGTCATCCACCCACCTGGCCATAGGCAGCATATATCCTCCTGCCTTTCAAGAACCACGTTAAAACTGAACTGGTCACTTCACCAAAAGAGAACAGATCTCTTGCCCAATGACATTACGATCTAAAGTTCAACAGGAAGGATACAACAGACAGAGACAAAAGGCGAAGGGTAAGCGAGAAAGACAATACATGTTTATGTATCAGTCCCATGAATGATGACAGCCAGTGTGGTGTAGTGGTTTGAGCGCTGGGCTATGACTCCAGAGACCAAGTTCGAATCCTCACTCAGTCATGGAAACCACCTGGGGAACTTGGGCAAGTCACACTTTCTTACTGGAAGGCAAAAGCAAACTCCCTCTGAACAAATCTGGCCAAGAAAACCTCATGATAGGTTTGTCTTTGTTGTTGTTTGTGCCCAAGTTATTTCTGACTTATGGTGACCCTAAAGCATTTTTCTTGACAAGGTTTGTTCATTGCCTTCCCTTGAGGCTGAGAGCATGCAACTTGCCCAAGGTCACCCAGTGGGTTTCATGGCCAAGTTGCGAATCGAACCCTGGTTTCCAGAGTCATGGGCCAACACCCAAACCATTATGCCATGTTAAGGTTGCATAAGTTGGAAACAACTTGAAGCACACAACAACAACAGCTCAGGAAGGATACCGTCTAGGAATCAGACCAAGGGGTTGTGCTTTAGAGGGTTCCCCAAATAAGAATTCTACCTCCAATTGAAATTTTCTTTGAGTCCCCAAATTTCTAGCACTGCAAATGGTGAGATATTGAAAATTGTTCCTACCTGGACCTCTTACATGTACTGTGCTTGTATTCCCCTCATCACTTTGCCTGCCCCTTTTCTCTGGATGCCTAAACTGGATTTCCAAATGCTCAGCTTAAGTTTTACATTGCTACAATGGTGGAAATTTAGGGACTGAAAGAAAATGCCACGGGGAAGGGAATTCTTATTTCTTCTTCTGTCCCCCCTCGTAGTAGTTGCAAGAGTGCAAATCATTATTTAGAAGAGGGACCACATTAGCAGAAACAACACAATCAAGGCATAGGGAAAAGTTGATTTCTGCAGAAATAAGTCCACCTGGAAAGATCCAAAGTAAGACAAGTGAATGGTTCTCAAGAGTCTAGCTTTTGTACTCTTTTAAAACTTGGAAACACTGACATCTTGGATCATAGACATCCTTTCTGTCTACTGTTCATCATCATCTTTGGGCTGTCCCTGGCGATGGCAGTGTTTGTTCTGATCTGTTTATCAAAGTAAATAGTATTTGAAATTCAGTCAGCAGGAACTTTGGATGTTTATGACAAAGGATCTGTCACTTAAAAAAGGAATTTCTTGATTAATGCTTGTACATCAGAGATTAACCCTTGGAAATCAAGGAGGAAGTTCCCCTTCTTATCTATATGTAAAATGCAAGAAAAAGACAGGGCTGTGAGGGATAAAAGGTCATTCATTGCCTATGTGACCCTTGCATTTTCCAATCATGGAGATTTCTGGGCTATGAGTACAAAAAGAATAGAGACTTTCTAACTAAAGGCTTCACCTTTTATCATTTACATAACAGTACTGTTAGCCCTCCATATTGTGGCTTTGACTTTTGCAGATGTGATTGTTCACGGATTTTATTAATATGTTTTCTCTAGGAATCTCTAGATCCTAAAGTGTGAAGCTATGGCCAACCTCTGCCAGTGGTTGCATTGGAGGACCTAGAACAGGGGTAGGCAACCTAAGGCCCGGGGGCCGGATGCGGCCCGCAAGGTCTTTGGACCGGCCCCAGGCCGGTCCTGCCGCTGTTGCCGCCCTCCGCCGCCGCTGCCCACCATGATGATATTGATTATTGTTGTTATTACTTGTTCTTGGGGTTTTCTTGGAAAAATCTCCATAGGGGTTTTGCCATGGCTTTTCTGGGGCTGAGAGAGTGTGCATGCATATTTTTTAAATTTTTAATTTTTTTAAATTTTTATATTTATTTATTTGTTTGTTTATTTTTGGTGCTTCGGCCTCCCAATTGTCTGAGGGACAGCAACCCGGCCCCTGGTTCAAAAAGGTTGCCTACCCCTGACCTAGAGGTTGCTAGAGAAAACACTTCTCTAGGCATCTGTAGGTTCTCCAGCCCAATTCTGTGTTCAAGCTCCGGTGGATGTTGACCATAGAGTTGCTCTGGAGGACCTAGAGATACCAAGTGAGGTGTTCTCAGGTTTTAAAAAATGAGTTTTTCGTTTGTGGGTTTTCCGCTTTCATGGGGAATCCTATGTCCCTAACTCCAGCAAATGTGGAGGGCCCACTGTAGTCACATCCATGTACATTAGACAACATGGTGATGGGTTGGGATGGTGAAATTAGTATTGTGAGTTTGGGAATGCAAAGAGGAAAGAATGGAAGCTCTAGCAAGTTGACAAATGAAAATCTGAATTGGGGAGAAGTGGAGGTCTACAGGTCTGATCCAGTGCGCCCCCACAACTTGCAGCCTGGCCTCTTGCGATGCGGGGAAAGGCATACCCTCCAACGTTTGATAGAGGAAAACATGGCACCAAGCAAGACTACAGTATTGTCAACAGGGCAAAAGGTATGAATGAGGAAGAACACACCAACTAGGGACCTTATCCCACGGGGGTCTAAAGCGCTCGCATCCCCATGCGATCACGCTTCCATACCCCAGCTGATCAAACGACGTCGCAGGGAGGCCCCGCCCATCCCTGTCGCATCCCGGTCGCATCCCTGTGCGACCGCGCTTCCTGTCGCCGGCTGATCAAACAACGTCGCAGGGAGGCCCCGCCCATCCCTGTCACATCCCGCTCGCATCCCTGTGCGACCGCGCTTCCTGTCGCCGGCTGATCAAACGACGTCACAGGTAAGCCGCTCGCATCCCCGTCCCAATGCAGCATGATGCTGCATCATCCAGGCATCATCCCCGCTCTTTTGAATGCCTGGTTGAAACGGGAATTACATTTCCCGCGACCAGAATGATGCTGGGATGCTGCTGCTTTCTGGCCAAGGAAGCGCGATGGGACGGGGATCCGAGTGCTTCAGTCCCCGTGGGATAAGGTCCTAGGAGAGGCTGCATCAGTTTGCTTTTGCCTGGGAAGGGCAAGATTCTGCCTCTTCGTCTCCTTCTCTTCCAGCTGAATTAACTGAATACGAAATGCATTTGCACTCAAACTCAGCTTGCAGCAATTGAAGTAAGCTGAGGACAAGGGGGAAAGTTGGGGAAGAGGAGAGAGAAATTTTAAAAGCAGCTGAAAAAGTGGGATGAGAGAGAAGAGGATTTGTTCATTTGTTCTTGCAAAATCAGGATCATTTGAGGGTATCGAATGGCACCTTGACCTTTCATTGGGCATTTCCTAAAAGCAAACTAAGATTTCCTAACAGACTCTATTTACCTCTCTCTTGTTATAGACAAAAACTTAGACTTCTGATCCTGGGCACTTTCCAGTATGCCTTCCTCCGGGGCTTCTGTGCCTTTCTTGGGCTTGTTTTGACCACAGAAGGACTGTACGACACGGCTGATGTAAGTGGGATGTTTGGAGGTCAATTTTTAAAAAAGTTTTGACAACAAAGGGTCTTTCTCTATGAGGCTAAATATGCTAAGAATGAGGTCTGGCAGTTGTCCATGAGTTCTTAGGAGAGAGGGTGGGTGGCATGCTGGTTTGGGTGAAAGAAGCGCAAACATTGGTCTGCTTCCAAAGTCCTTCTCCATATGTTTGTGCACAGTAGAGCAAGAGGCAGTGTGGCGTTATGGTTTAAGTATTGGATTATATTATTAGTATTAGTATTATTGGGACTATAAGACTCTAGAAACCAGGATTCTATTCTCAGTTTGGCCATGGAACCCGCAAGTCACACTCTCTCAGCCTTAGGCGAAGGCAATGGCAAATCTCCTCTGAACAAATCTTGCCAAGAAAACCCATGTTAGGTTCACCTTAGGACCGCCATACATCGGAAATGGCTTGAAGGCACACAACAACAACAAGGTTAGGGAACGCTGGACCATGAAATTATGTTCTCATGTCCATGCCCTCCAATTGTTCTGATTTGGCAAGGACAATCCTGGTTAATCCTTGGTCATCCCACTTGATCACTCTTCGATGTTGCTTGGCCACACACGTCATGGTTTTCGTCTACGAAATGTTGGAAGTCATGGAGTCCAAAGAATGGAATATTTGTCCCTACACCTGTTTCCATTGCCCTCCCCAGCCATTAAAGACCTCCATACAGATATTGGACATCTCACTCTGACTGCTGTTTCTCTTGGAGTGATCAGCTATCAATCAATCAGGATCTAGCTATGTTTTTTGGTTTTTAAAGCACTTATGGTCTGAGTGGCTGGAGAACGTCTGGTTAGATCTCAAAAGCTGTCCTGGGGGGCAAGTATGGGGCTGAGGTGGGCTTCCAACCTTCAGGAAACCATCCCTGCCCCCTCTTTTACTATGAACATTTTTATTTCTAAAATATAATTTCCCATGGACCTAACCCAAACTACAGGTTCTCTTTCAGCAAGGTTGTTCTGTGGTTCCCCTCTGTGGTTAAAGCATAATTGCACCCATTTATTGAAATACAGTTGGCCCTCTGCATCCACGAATTCTGCATCCACAGATTCAACCATCCACAGCTTTAAAATATTCAGATAAAATAATTCCAAAAAGCAAACCTTGATTTTGCCATTTTATATAAGTGAAAGCATTTTATTATGCCATTGTATATAATGGGACTTTACAACCCATGGATTTTGGTATCCATAGGGTGGGTAAGTTGTGGAACCAAACTCCAGCAGATATCGAGGGTCCACTGTAGAACAAAATCCAAAATCCACAAAAGAGCCATACCTTTATCGGCCATAAAAAGTATCACTCTTATGTGGATTTTGCTTCATGGCCAACATGACTACCACTGAATATGTTATGCATTTATTGAGTATTTCTAATGTATTGCAGTCACAGAATTGACACATATTTGAAGTGCACTTTGCAAAACATTCAGCTGTCTCTTGGCAGCCTATTGCCAATGGAATCAAACTGGAAGAGATTCCACCTAAACTTTAGGAAGACCTTCTAGGTAGTAAGACCTGTTCGACAGTGGAAGACGCTCCCTTGGAGAGTGGCGGAGTCTCCTTCTTTAGAGGTTTTTCAACAGAGGCTGGATGTCTGTTGGGAATGCTTGGATTTTGTCCTCCTGCATGGCAGAGTGGGGTTGGATTTGATGGCCCTTGGGGGTCTCTTCCAACTCTATGATTCTATGATTTTAACAAAACCAAGAATAATGTTGCTCATGCTCTTCCCCCCCATACT